TAGCTTTAATTGTAAACATATTAGAGATGGGAATTATTTAGGTTCCTGAGGAGTCATTCTAACCAATCCCTCTTCTATAAAAAGACAATATCTTCTCATTAAATATTAATTTGAGCAACCAGTGGTACAATAAGGCTCATTGTTCTTGCAGAAAAGCTCCATTTTATTTAGCTGAGTGCTACAGCACTTCAAAAGTAGTAGTCAAAATTCCAAATAATTACAGAAAAGGTTTTCAGATTAAAGTAACAGCAGCTTCTGTTTTTTTTTCTTTTTCAAAAACCCACTATATCCTAGCTACAACCAGAGATCTCTGAATATGAAAAGCATATTTAAAAGTGAAGATTTAAAGTTGAACATTGGTTGAATGAAATACTTGCTTACAGAAAATGACACCCTTTTAAGACTTAAAAAGAAGGGACAGCCATCTTCAGAAGTAACACAAGATAAAGTCTAGATTATAGATTTTAGCTTGGGTTATAATAGTAGGACTATTATTTGGAGAAAATGTTTGCTTTGGTTGTGCACATGCTATAGGTACAAATGAGAATTTGCTCTACCTTATTATATGAGTATTATATGAAAGTCTTGATTGACTACTACTACCCAATATGATTTGAGACAATTTAGAGGGTCTTATCTGGTAGTAATTACTGTATATTAAATATTGTAACTTGTAACACAAGAGGAGAATATGATAAAGGGTATGAATTAGCAAATGAAATAGAAGAAAAAATAAGTTGTGTCCTTGAAACTAAGAGAAAAGGAAAAGTTGTAATAGATCTGAATAAAAGTGGTCAGATCTTATGAAACGGAGCTGGTATGCAGAGAGATGAAGGCTTCATTATGAATGAAAGAGTTGGCTTATGTTAGAAAATATGGATTGGTCTAACCCAGGTTGCTGCAAGGACTAGATTCGCAACACTAGAAACAGAGGTACAGAAACCAGTCTGGTCCATCACATAGACATGCATAGACATGTAGTAGGAAGCTTTCAGATGTAACACAGAGGAGATGTAGAAATTAAAATTTGATTATCCTATATACAGCTTGTCTCATACTCTGCATATGTCAGATTTCTTCTTGAACAACTTTTCTAATTATTTCATTAAAACAGTTTATCAAGGCCTATGAGGATTACATACTTCCATACATATTGATTACATACAGAGGGAAGCCTAATAATGGCTGTTCCAGGTATAGATTAAAGTATAAGTTTATTAACATCAGGCTGAAGCTGGCAAAAACAAAGGTATAGAATCTAAGGCCAAACAAAGCCATTATGCAAATACTGTGCAGATATTCTTCAACATTCAAAGTTAAGAAACGGGTGGCAAAAAGTCATAAAAGTAAAAGAACTGACACATAAATATGGTTGGATTCATAGCCATTATGAATGTTAGTAGCTGATTTTCATTCTAACAGAAATGTTTGCATCTGCAATAAAAGCTATATATATTTTGAAACTTGACTCTTTTAACTCATGAGAATATGTTTGTATTCCTAAAGAGAGCTTTATTGCTATGCCCAGTTAGTAATGGTTGCATGTTATGCTCTAGTGAGTGGTGATAATGGAAAAAACAGATATGTGTTTTGGGAACCTTGTGAATAAATATGAAGGAGAAAAATATGCAGTTAAGGGCATAAATGAATGCAATGAAAAAACAAAGAAATGATTGGGCCATATGAAAGGTCTAGACAGAAAATTTCTGTAGGTTTTGAATAAGTCTATTATGTAGATGCATGTAGCGAAATAATGAATATAAATCTAGATGCATGATTGATTTATGCATGAAAGATTGAGAACATGGTTGAGGGATACAAGAGTGATTAATGTAGGACAGACTATTTTATACTAGTGTTAAGAGGATTTTGGAGGAAAGGACATGGAAGAAAAGGAAAGAAAGGGAAAAAGTATATAGTTAAGTAGGCACAAGTTACAGATGAGGCAGATAAAGGATATATTCTTCTAACAGAATAACTGGAAAATGGATTTAAAGTAAATGTGGAAGCTATTTGAAAAGAAATAATGTAATTTACAGAATCGTGAAGAGTTATATTAATGGGGGAAGTATGCTGAATATATTGCCTCTCAGTATCTCTTCCCACTATCTAGGAGTAGCCATGACTCCAGGATGTCACAGATCTGGCATCTCAGAGTCAATACCATCCCATCAAGAGACAGCACTGGAAATGCCAGATAATCCTAATGAACAAATAGTGGCACTGTCTTTCTTCTGTTCAATTTCAGCTTATTTTATCCTATCCAGACCTGACAACTTCCAGACACTGGGCCAAGATTTTCACTTTTTTTCCAGTGTAGCTCATAGTAACCATGTACAGTTGGTGTCACCAGTGTATTAATAGTGCCATGCCCCAAACTAAGGGAAGACCTTTCCTTCCAGTTGACAAAAAGCAAGGAGGAAGGTCCAAAGCATGAGCCATCCACAAAAGAGAAACTGCTTAGCTGATCTGTCTTCTTACCATGCCTGAAATTGCTCACTGGAGGAGGAGCAGAACCATCCACTGAGCAGTGTTTCCATTCTCTGGTCTAAATAGAGATCAGAATGGTCAAATATATTGAAAATTGTTGTGAGATCTAAGAGAACCAGGAGGGATCACTATCGCCATCCAGGTCTCAACACAGATCTTCCATAAGAGTGATCAGAGTCATTTCCAAGTTTGAATCTAGTCTGAGTTAAGTCTATGTATGGTAGCTGAATACTAATCAGAGTCTTAGTAAATTTCAAGAAGGTAAGGCTATAGATAGGGTAATAGCTGGCAAAAACAGATGGATCAAAGACAGCCTCTTGAAGAAAGAGCACCCATAGTCTCTTCCAAAGACTCCTGTTACTGCTGATCACTACCTCCTAAAGAAAGGTGATTGCCAGGTCCCAGGTCCAATCCGCCATGTTCCTATCAGATATCTTAATGAGCAGAGAAGATGATGGATCAAGTCCATAAGTTGCAGAGAACAGTCAGGACAGCTCTCTATCTACTTTCTCGGAGTCCATGGACTATTAAAACAGCATGTGCTATGGGGGGAAGGTGTTATGGCCTGCCAGCGGCCAGCAGAGCTGGCATCAGAGTTGGACAGTGAGGAGGTTGGGGAGGAACATGACCTGTCCTGGAGACTGGGAAAGGCTCAGATGAGGGATCTGCGTCGGAGGCAGAGTTGGGGCCAAGACCATCTGGTAGTTCTCAGCTGCCTTCGGAGCGAGACAGCAGTGAGGCAGAGGAACAGCTGGAGCCTGCTCCCAGTGTGTGCATGCACAGAACTTTCAGAAGAAAAGAACAGCTAAGAAATTATGGTCAACTTGGGAGTAAAACTGCAGGGTGGATAGTGAATGGCCAGTCCCATAAGAAATAAACGAGGAGTAAAAGCAGAGTGGGCTTTTGCAGAAAACAATTCGTTCTTTTGTTAGTTAATTTCAGGAGTGTGAAGATCTGTCCGTGAATCTCAGAGACTCTGTGCCAAGTCTTTCCTTGCACAGGAGTGCATTTGGAAAATATTTACATGGCAGCTTTCTAAGCTAGATAAGGTCTTTGGTCATAACTTCACATTTGAAAGACTGTTTACCAGGCCTTTGCTGAATGTGAATGAGAGGAATTCACATTCGTTTAATAAAAGGAGCTTTCTCAGGACTAGGAATCTGATTCATACTTTTTGGGGAAGCCTAGGTCAGAACTGAAGGAGAGTTCAAATGATTGTCTTGGATTGCATCATTTCTGCAAAATAAAGTCATATGTCTGATACTGCTCATTCATGTTTAAAGAGGTGTCAGAGTTCCAGATCAGTTTTGTATATTTAATATGCTGTTAACATTTTCTATTGTGGGCGTGAGTATCAGTAAAAATCTTCTCTGCTTTACTAAATATTAGTAGAGCATTATTTTGACCCATGGATTTTATAATCTTTAAAAGAAAATATGGACCATTTCTTAATTATTTATGTTTGCAAATGTCAGAACCTTTATATGTATTAGGATCTTCAGTTTTGACAGTCTGTTTCTTGGTAATTTAATCAGATCTATCAGTGGAATCACTTTTTGCATAAAATTAACAAGTTATTCCAATTCTTAGATCAGATCCCTCTGGTGATTTACATGGCTTCCATAAATGTGCAGAAAATATTTTAATCAAAATTGATTCAGAAGTGATTATTCAGTTCAGACATTCAAATTAAATTAGATATCCCACCAGTATTAAAGATTATAATCAGATTTGACTGGTTTGCACATTTCTACTTTCTACTTTCTCCTTAAGTTATATAACATACATTTTTTTAAAAAAAAATGCAAATAAATCTGCTACCATTATTAATACATAATTTGATTCAAGTTGGAAATGTAATATTGCCTGGTCTGAGATATTTTTAGAAATGTAAGCATGACAATAAGCTGTATTCAAGTTTCTGTAATGGATGTTTTAAAAGGTGGAGGTTCTTGTGATCAGAAAAGCTAGTGCTAGCCAATAATTTAACATTGCAGTGAAGATTGGTAGGAACAGATTGCCAACATTCATTCTCTGGGGATTCAGTGGCAGAATTATTTTACTTTCATTGTTCTAACTTTAACTAGGTAATTTGCAATCAAGATAAAGTACAATAATTATATAGTATATTATAAACAATGTGAATATAACAAACTGTAAATATTAAATATTCATTTTAAAGTTATTAAATATTAAATCTAATATTGAAGGCTCTAGAATCAATCTCTGTAGAGAAGCCATGCGTTTACAACTTTACAATAGTTGTATCATAGGAGAGGAGCCTCTACAGAGATCAGGAGATAGTTGGATATTCAAAATTGCCTCACTAGTTTTATGAAACTGCCTATTTACACCTAGCAATAATAGAACATACTGGATTTAATTTAATTATTTACAGTTACTTACATTTATTTATTTATTTACATTTTAGATGGTATATTTTAAATATGTTTTCACATTCATTTCAAAATATATCTTAATTTATTTTCTTTCTTTTTTAATGTGGACAGGTACATGGAGTGAATCAACTCCAGATTAATTCTTGATCAAAATATATGAAGAATGAGAAATGAATTATACAAGACTATCACCTGAAACAGTGACAGGATCAAATTTTAGATATATTCTTATTTTATTTATAATGGAAATGTTACAACAACACCACTGGTCTTGAAGATAAAACATAACATTCCATTTTCTTTGGATATGAGTGATAACAAATCTTCACAAGAAGAAAAGTACAGGCCTAGCAGAGGTTCCTCAAAATACAGGGAATCTGTAAGAATAATGCAATCGGATGATTACTTTGCCAGGAAATTTAAGGCTTTGAATGGTAATATGGGTCCTCCTATATCTCTAAATACCAGCAACAAAAGTGAAAATAGTAACTCAGCCAATGGTACTCCTGCTGTGCCTAAAATGGGAGTCCGAGCCAGAGTATCTGAATGGCCACCTAAGAAAGAGTGTGTCAAGGAACTACCCAATGCTACCTGGGAAGACAGGCCTCAAAGTGAGAGTGGTGGATTAGTAAATGGGGATCAGAATGAAGGACAGCAAAAGGAACAGCTTGATTTGGAATTTGCAGGAGCCAAGTATGGACTAGGAGACATTTTTATCCATTCTCCACATAGGGGACTTCATCCTATAAGACAAAGAAGTAATAGTGATGTTACAATCAGTGACATTGACACTGAGGATGTTCTGGACCAGAATGCTGTGAACCCAAATACAGGAGCAGCTCTTCATCGGGAATATGGAAGTACGTCATCAATTGACAGACAAGGCTTGTGTGGAGAGAACTTTTTTGCAATGCTTCGTGGCTATACAGTAGAGAATGTTGAGCATAAAATACATGCACCATTTGGACTTCCTGAATTTTTCCACTGTGACGCCACAATTTCTCCAAGTCTCCATGCGGCAACCCAGATTTCAAGAGGAGAGTTTGTCAGAATTTCTGGACTGGACTATATGGATAGCACCTTGCTTATTGGTAGAGATCAGGAAAAATCTTTCAAATGGAGATTAAAATCAGAGTCAGTAGAAACATCTCTTTTTAAAAAACTCAGAACTGCTAAAAGCGAACATGAAGCACTAAAATTTGTGGCTGAATTAGAGGAGAGTAGACTTGAAAAGAATGTCCATCCTTGGAATTGTCAGAAGTGTTTTGCCCACTATGATGTTCAGAGTATTCTCTTTAACATAAATGAAGCAATGGCTACTAAAATTAATGTGGGCAAAAGAAAGAATATAACCACCGGGGCGTCGGCTGCATCACAAACTTCAATGGCAGCAAGCCAGATTGGGAGCTGTGAATCTCCTTTGGGAAGTAAAGAGGATCTAAATTCAAAGGAAAATTTGGATGCTGATGAAGGCGATGGGAAGAGTAATGACTTAGTACTGAATTGTCCTTATTTCAGGAATGAAACTGGTGGGGAAGGAGATAGGAGGATCGCACTCTCTAGAGCAAATTCGGCATCTTTTTCTTCGGGAGATAATTGTTCTTTTGAATCTTCCCTAAGTTCACATTGCACCAATGCAGGTGTTTCTGTCTTAGAAGTACCAAGGGAAAATCAGCCAATCCACAGAGAGAAAGTAAAGCGTTATGTCATAGAACACATTGATCTTGGTGCCTATTATTACAGGAAGTTCTTCTATGGAAAAGGTGAGTGATTGTCTTTAGCATCTTTCACTTTCAAGGTGTTAAGGCTTGGATTTTATGTTGCTTTTTAAATAAGTTACTGAAAATGCGTATTCCTTTGTTGGAATTGTAGATCTCTGTCTAGTTTTGTCCTTTATGAGTTTACAGAAAACCATAATTAGAATTAGCTTTAAAAACCAAATATGACATCAATAATGTTGTTTAACTGTAAGCAATAATGTTTCAAAGAACATTGATGTATCTTGACTTTCTTTGTCAAATTCAGGAATTAAAAAAATTCTGTGATCTCCTCAGTTAGTCTTTTTAGGGCTAAACATGCTTAGTTCCTTCTTAATTGTGGTGTCAGAACCCTTGGCAAAATAATTGAAGTAGTTTAAACAATTTAGGAAAAAAAATATACCTAAATTATTGGATCTTTTTCTGGCAACTTTATGCTGGTGTATAATATTTAATTTCTGATCAATTAAAAATTCCAGAATCTCTTCATATATACTGTTGCCAAATTAGTTAGTTCTGTTGATGAGCATTGCTGGAACGTAGTTCTGAAACCCATATAATGGCAGGGCTCTTAATTAATTTGCTAATCTAATGGCTACAGTCTTAGTCTGCAACATGCAAATAGACAATACATATATTGTGTCTCTGTATTTCCACAGTCCACTAACGAAGTTTACCAGTTTAAAAAATTAGATAAGGGTAATGAAGATTTGTTCTTGATCCATTTGTGGTGATTTTCAGCAGTTACTGCATTGTTTCCAAATAATTAAACAATTTTTCCTAGAATTTTCCAGATTTTGAGTACTAGATTTTAGTCTGATTCGTCTTTCTCCCTTGATTAAAGATAGAGGTTGTCCTTTGACCTCTTTCATGCATCTGGTATTTCAGCTGTTCTCCATGAAGCAAAATGCCTGGTTGAAATAAAGTAGCCTGTCTTGATGCTTTTATTAGTGGCAGTGAAGTAGAATGCTTTCCATTTTGCTGCCTTGAATTGAATTGCTTCTATGATTAGGCTTGCTGTAACTCTGTGAAATGAAGTAGTGCCACTTTGCAAAAGCCAATTTACTATGTTTTGATCATTTTCAAATTGCAATGGTACCCCTTCAACCTGCTGTTCACAGTTACTAGCAGAACACAAGGCTCTTGTTGGAGAAGATGAAGCCAAGTAATTTTGCTTTTTCCTTGTTACCTGGTAGTATTTTATAATTTTGCTGAGCACCTATTATATTAATCTTTTTCTTTTTTATTTGAACATATTTACTGTATTTTTTCAGAGTATAAGACGCACCGGAATAAAAGACGCACCAAGGTTTTGAAGAGACTTTTTTTTAAGAAGTAGGTAGGTAGATAGAGGGATAGAGAGGGACAGAAATACAGTAGGTAGGGAGGGAGAGGGAGTGACTAGTTAGGTAGGTAGGTAGATAAAGGCAAAGAGAGAGAGAGAAATAGAGAGAGAAAAATACAGTAGGTAGGGGGAGAGAAAGTGTAGGTAGGTAGATAGGTAGAAGAATAGAGAGAGAAATAGAAAGAGATAGAGAAATGCCGTACATAGGTAGGTAGGAAGAGAGAGAGTAGGTAGGTTGGTAGGTAGAGGGATAGAGAGAGGGGGGGAGAAAGAGTGAAATATAGTAGATAAGTACGGAGAGAGACAGTAGGTCAGTACGTAGGTAGATAGAGGGGGGAGAGAGAAATACAGTAGGTAGGTAGGTAGGTAGGGAAAGGAATAGAGAGAGAGAAATAGAAAGAGATAGAGAAATACAGTAGATTGGTAGGGAGAGAGAGAGTGTAGGTAGGTTGGTAGGTAGAGAGATAGAGAGAAATATATATATATACATATATATATATATATACACATATACATACATACATACATACATACATACATACATACATACATACATACATACATACCCAGTAAATAATAGGGGGAGAGAGAGAGAGAGTAGGTAGGTAGGTAGATGTTTCCAGGTATATTTATCCATGTGCTTGAGAAGGAAATCTCTGGAGCACCTAAGACTTTGTTTCTGCTGGCACAGCACTTGATCAATGTAATTCTCATCAATCAGTTAAAGAACTTTCCAAAAGGGAAAAAAAACCTTTTTGCACTCTGCAAAACTCTCCAAAATGGCCCGTTTTTCACCAAAATGGGCCCGTTTTTTTTTTCAAATAAAAGGCATGAATAGCCTTGGTGGGGGCTTGCAGAGTGCTCCTGCAAGTAGCAAAAAATGGCCCATTTTTTGCAAAAACAGGCTCGTTTTTTGTCAAAAATATTGCATGCATAGCCTTATGGAGGCTTATATAGTGCTGATGGGGGCAGGGGGGGGCAAAAAAGACCAATGTTTTGCTAATTTCTGCCCTTCCCAGCCCCTAAGAACTCTCTGAAAGCTTCAATAAGGGTATGCACAGCAATTTTGGTGAAGGGGACGGGGCTTTGGGAGGCAAAAAATGCTGTATTCGATGTATGAGACGCACCCAGATTTTCAGCCTCTTTTTTGAGGAAAAAGGTGCGTCTTATACTCCAAAAATATGGTAAATTGGTCCATTTTGTTTATATTAAGAACTTTCTGAGCTTTAGCTTTCAATCTTAATTTTTACATCCACCCATCCATCCATCAATCCATCCATCCATCCATCCAATTTCTTAACTCCTCAACTCACCTAAGTGACGATTAACCTGTCACTCCTTCCATAATAATATGTGTCCTGTTTTATTATAATTCTGAGATCATTGCAAGCTTTTGGAACAGTGAAATTTCTTCTTTTTCTTGACATTGTACTTGTTTGGGGGCCATACGTTTGGTATCTCTTTTCAATTTATATTAGATATTCAGAGATATATAAAACATGCACCCTATTTTTAAAGTTTAATTTCTTAAAATATTTTACCTTGTGTCCTATGTTGAATGTATGACTAGAAACATTATGAAATCAATGAGGATTTTTTTTAAGGATGAGAACATGCTTAGATTTGAGAGAATGATAGAGTTGAGAGAAATTGATTCTGTTTCTTTCCTACATATCTATGTTAATGGGTTGAACGAGTAACTGAGTGAGAGGTCCTGGAGAGAACAATTATATTTTAGTGCACTCATATCAAACTTTGAATCAGTGGGTTCCCGTTTTATATAGTCTTGGAATTTGGAAGTCAAAGCCCTGTTGAATCATAATATTAAATGGATTTTTATAAATTGGCATAATTTTCATTAGCCTTATATAATGAGAAGAATTATTCCTAGAATAAATTCCATAACAATTAACTTTACCAAGCTTACAAAAGAGATGCTGTATTTATTTATGTTAGTCATTAAACAGATTTGTATGGCTGCCTGTCTTAATTAATATAAATCACCTAATGTAATTTAATGTGATGAATAAAAGGACAAAAACAAACAAAAGAAAAATCAATAAAAATAATTGAATTCCCCTTAAACATTTTTTCTAGCAGAATAAGATTGGTACATATAATGCTGGTTTTTCTAATGCCCTATCCACACTGGTCTGTGAGGAGAAAAACATATCTTCAAGTGTTCCTTTGAAAGATCAACATTTGACATCAGGGTCCCAAAAACCATAAAAATAGGCCAAAATGTTGATTCTCCCAAGTAAATTTCTTTATTGTTCCATACCTTTAGACAGAATCTTGCTAAAATGAAACATTATACTGTCTACATCAATCATATATTCTGAAAAATCATTAGGGGGGGGGATTGTCTTCATCCTTTTTCTCTCACACAAACTATCCAAATTGAGTCGCTTCCCTCCCTCCTGGGAAGCCAAACTACTACATGCCCAAATTTAGAAGTGAGAAACTACAGATTTAGTTACAAAACTAACAAACTCGTGATCCTAAACATATAGTGCCATGGTTCTAATTGTTCCCCAACATGGTGACTTTTTGGGTTTTTAAGCTACAGCTCCTATCATGCTCAGCCATCTAGTCATTGATTAAATCACGTTAGGAGTTTACATTGGGAGACTACTAAGTGATGCTGTGTATCCTACTGTCAATAATTACCTTGCTTTGAATGATGTTGATAAGCAAATTGTTAATCATGAAGCATACTTGATAAATTAATACACTTGCATTAAGTGTATTAATGAAGAATACAGGTAAAAATCCATTTTATATATTGTAGATACAATCCCAAAAGCACATTCTAATAGTATTGGCTTCTTGTGGATAATTAATTCTTATGCTGCTGAAATTAATGACATTTACAATATGTTTACATGTATTGAATTTTGCCTATTGTGAATTGAAGAGCATTTTTTTCTTTTTAAAAATAGAATACAAGTTTAACTGATTTTAGAATAATTTAGATTATTGGGCTATCTAAATTAAGAATATCAGGAAATACTGCGATCTTTGTTTAATCAGTATTTAGCTGAAAATAGTATTGTGTATATATTCTCACTTGAATGTTTAAAAGTTGTTATAAAAATAAAATCGGTATAAGTAATAGAAACGCATAAGGAAGTATAATCTAATATCAACCAGTGATTTTCATATGTGATGTAAAGAGGAATCTGACTAATGTTTCATTATTATTTTACCCTATTTATACATTACAGAGCATCAAAACTACTTTGGAACAGATGAACATTTAGGACCTGTAGCAGTCAGCATTAGAAGGGAGAAGTTTGAAGAAGGAAAAGAAAAAGAAGGTTTACAATTCAACCATCGTATAGTGTTCAGAACAAGTGAGGTAGGCTTTCCACACTGCTTCTGAATTGAGATGTAAAAGAGAAACAGATATTTATAGAACTTTTTATTACGTATTTACTTTATATTCCTTCATGTGGACTGTATGGTTCCACATGTATATAACTGGATGAATTAAGTTGTCTTTATTTTGTCTTTCTGCACATTAGTTCCCAAGGATGGTTGAAAATACTTATCTATGTATACACATAATGTTCTATTAACATGCCTTCATGCTTATTTCATAGATTAATTAGAGTGAAACCCTCATTTGAAAAAGATGCCAGTTATTTATTAAATAATGTTTAACTGTCAAAAGTTCTGAGGATTCTTGCTTGGTATTTTAGTGTAAAGTTACCATTTATGTTTGCTATATATTGTTTTGTATTTTTGTATTTTCAGCAGATGGGTAATATATATTTATTACATATGTACATACACACACACACAATTAAGTATGACGCAGGTCTTTTCTTTCCAACAATTTAGCCAGTCCCTTAGTATTATGAGTAATCTTTTCTTCTCAGGCTTCTGATCATAAATGTAGATAATGGACTCTTATCTGCCCACACTTATCTGCCACACTTACCTATAGAAGGCAAGATATGCTGTCAGTTCTCATGAAGAACTCAGTGAAAGCAATTTGGGCAAATGAACTTTAATTAATTAACTTTCAAACAAACTTATCTGATACACATTATTTGAATATTTTAGAATGAAGAGACATATGTACATATATGTATTTCCATGTGAGGGTGCCCTTAACAATATATTTCATGCTTTCATCCATTTTATGTAGCATCACATCCATTTTCATTGCACAGTTTAGTAAGCAAGACAACAGTGGCCTTGTTCATTCTAATCCTTGTCATGCATTTGCTCCTTTTAATACCAATCTTCTGTATTCAGCTATTATCATTATCTTTTATCTTCTCAATTCAAATAAAATTGAATAGTTTATATAGTGTTGTGTGTCAGAAATGTTTGTATCATATCGGGTTTCCATACTTTAGTGGAATGATAGTTACACTTTATAATGCAATCTTATATGTCTGCATGTATATTTACTGATATTAATAGCATTTATTTGGACTTTTCCCACAATAGTATGTTTAAATATTTTGGGAATAAATTCATAGTTGGAGTGTAATGATTCTTACTTATTAGAACCTAGCAGTTCTTAATTCAGAAATTCATTTCTTTCTCAGTTTTAGCAATTAAGGGAAAGAACTGTAGGGAATAGTTAACATTTTCCAAAGACAAACAGATGGAGAAAATAGAATCAGAAATATGCAGAAGCTAAGTATAACTGTAAAGAGGATTATAGAACTATAAACAGATTTGGAAAGAGCATTTGGAAGAAGAAATGACTTGGAAAAAATTAAGAGAGGGAAGTAAATGAAGGATGCCAATTTCTATTTTTAAATACAATGTTATTGAATATCAATTTATTTGTGAAGTTTAAAAATAGAAGTAGGCATTTTATTAAAATTAAGAGGAAGGAAATTTAAAGTACCACTTAACTTAAACTGTATGCATTTCAAAAAAATAAGATTTACTTTTGAAATGTGGCTGTTGATAACCAGCAAATTAATTTTGGAAAAAAAAAAGTTTTATTCACAGACCTAAAAAAATTCAGATTTATTATAAGCCTCATTAAGAGCCTTTGTAAAATATAATGTAAGATGCTCAGAATTATGCTGGCTATCACACAGAGGTATATTTCTAGGAAAACATCAGAAAAGTGTAATGAAATGCAGGTGTTTGAGACTAACTGACTTTAAAATATTTATAAAATCAAGGTTGGCAACCTTAGACCTTGCAGGGAATTATTTTTCATTCTGAAAACTTAGTAGCAGTATTGGTGAACTGGCCAACTTCTAAGCTGAGTGTGGTTGTTTATTCTATTCTTTCCAATTGCTCCTTTTTTAGTTATCAGAATGGAGCTTTCTTGTGCCAGCCTCACTTATCCTTCATTATCATAACTACTTTCCTAACAGACCATTCTTAGAAGTGAGGCATAATTCTCCCAAAGCTCTACTTGGTATGGAAATTTGAACATAAATTTGTTCTTTTCTTCCAATGTTAGAATTCAAGAGTCATGTATTGAAGCTAAATGCAGACAGATTCAGACCTCATAAAAGGATTTAATTTTGGTCATTATACAAATAATAGTTAAACTATACAGTTCCTTGTCTTGAACATAATACATTGGTTTAGACGACCTGGGAAAATCCATGAGGATACCAATGCTCATACCTGTTTAAAACTACCTGAATGAAAATAGCACAGCTTAACTACTAGCTTCTAGGAAGGTTTACTGTCTTCTTGTATATGTCTGAACTTATTGAATGAATCTACTTGACTATTCTCTATCACAAAATATTGTGAATTAACAACACTTCTTATGTTCTTACCATCAAGATCCCTCTTGGACTTCTTAAATGATAGTACCTCACCAACAATTTTCTTAATGATAAAGTGGTTTATAAAATGGATTTAAAGTAAATAAAATTTTATCTACCTCCTTATTCCAGAGAGCTCTTCATAGAAGATCCTGCTTGTTCTCTTCACTATATCTTGCAACAACTCAAAATTTAGATCTTTCAGCAAAATACTGCTATGCTTCAATATCAGAAGTACCAAATATATATACCTTTGAATCTGTCTAATCATTAACCCATTTTCTATATTTTATATAAAAAAACATGTTTGGGAGAGCAAGACAATTAATTGATCCAATAGATCCTATCTGCTTGTCTCATAATACATTGGCAATACCACTATTGATTCCAAGTACATAGCATGAAAGACAACGGATATTGAGGCAGAAATATTGCAGGGAAGACTTGGATTCAAAGTGTTAATCTTCATCAACTAGGAGGTTGGAGATCAAGAATTTAATTCTTTGAATGATCCCTTGGCTGTTAATTCAAAACACCATAACTATAAGCAATTGTAGTGCAATGTAAACAAAAATTCTAGAATCTCTTTATTGATAGATTCTCTTTTGTCCTGTGTCACTTCAGAAGTTATATAAATTTCAACTTCAGGCCATATCAGAGAGATGAACTTTCAAGCAGTTTGCTGATAAAATTTATGCAATTTATTTAAAATGGGAGTGGAAAGTTTCTGGTACTCCAGATTTGAACTGCAATTCCACGATTAATATTCACAGTGCCTGAATCTGAAGACCGTTGAAAGTTTGCAAGACCTAGAGAGACACAGTTTCCCTGCTCTAGTCAGGGGACTGATTAAAACATGATAGCATTATAATAATTTAAGTATGATAGTTATGCTGCTGAAAATATACTCACTTCCTCAGAATATTGAGCAATGGAACACACACACACACACACACACACACACACACACACTCAATGGCTTTCCACTAAGGAGCCATGGTGGCGCAGTAATTTTGCACAAAGCCAGAAGTTCTATTTTGACTGGCTTCCATCCTACTCAGGACCCAGATTGTTTGGGGCAATATGCTGACTCTGTAAATTGCTAAGAGACAACTGTAAAGTACTGTGAAGCAATATATAGGTCCTAAGTGCTATTGCTGTTCTTAAGAGTGGATGGGTGGAGGTCAAAATAGGCAATTGTAACTTTGTGATGAAAAACTTTGAATGTGGATTGACTTTGTACACATGCACAGAGGACTGGGATTGTCACCATTGGTGGTTTTGGTCCCCTGCAAATGCCACTGATTTGAACTGGTTTCACATCATGAATTAAGCATCAGAGTGTGTCTACAGTGTTAGTTGTGAAGACAGTATTCATATTAAACATATTGCAATCTATTTTCTGTTGCTACAGCTTACAACACTGCGAGGAGCCATTTTAGAAGATGCCATTCCGTCTACTGCTAGACACGGCACAGCACGAGGCTTACCTCTTAAGGAAGTATTGGGATATGTAATTCCAGAACTGAATATTCAGTGCCTGAGACAAGCTTCCAACTCACCCAAAGTGTCTGAACAGCTGCTTAAACTGGATGAGCAAGGGGTAGATATTGATTTTTAAAAAACATTAGTATACCAATGTGTTATTTCATTTTCATAAATAGAGATTTGAGATTCTGATCTTATCTGTTTGAAGAACTAAAGATTTTCACTGCAGTGACTTCTGTTAGATAAATAACATAGTAGAAAGAGGATTTTTGCATTAATAGTCAATCAAGCACATTAAAAAAGCATTGTGCTAAGAGCATCAAATTACATAGAGAAAATTATTGTCTTGCTAGTCTTTCACCTTTTCCAATTTTCCTTTTCTAATTATAATTAGCACATTTTATTCACAATAATAATCTTCCTACTGATGTGGGAAATTTGATGGCTCAAACAACTGAAATTCTTAATTGGGACTATCTAACAAGTTAACACTGCATGAGCAATGAAATGAATATATACTTTAAATTCAGAGTGAATAAAGGTGAGATTGTCTAGTCTAATGCAGAAGATCTGAATTTTTGCAACATTAAAAGGCATATTTATTTAAAGTAAATTGTTTATATGTGTGTATATCATGTAAATATTATATTTATATGTATAAGTGTGTGTATATGTATATATATACCTATACATATATATGGAAAAATGAAACCACTGTTTTAATTACCTATGTTCATTGATAGAACATGTATTTAGCCATCTAAATCTCATCAGTTTTGTAAAGATGCTCGTATAAAGAAGGACATATCTTTTTCCAGGCTGACTAATTTTTTTTGTGCTTTTAAGGCCAGAATAAAATTACATTTGATTTAGTTTCATTTAAGTTTAGTTAAAATTGAATGCAGTTAATGTGGTCATAAAAGAACTGATATATGAACATTGCAATCATGCAATGTTGACAAATTAATAAGAATTAGGAGGAAGTAGGGTGAATTTATTGTGATGTCAGGAAAACAATTACTATTTTTTCTATTAATAGTAGTTTATACATGCTTGGTAAGATCTGATGACTATCAATTAAGCACAATTAATTTGACAATACAGAAAATTATTTTTCTCTCAAGTGAGAGCAAAGTCGTGTGTCTCGTCCCCCCAAAAGAAAATAATTATTACAACAAGGAATGTATCAAATAGCAGGAATTTAAGTAGTGAATAAATGAAAAACAATATTCTTAATTGTCATAAATTTTTGGAGTCATTAAATTTTTGAAGTTTTTAGTAATACCATCGTTTATATAAGGTGTATTTTATTTGTATATTACTTGATTTACAAATAGCTACTTATAATAAACACATTGCATGTTCATTTAACCGGATGATTGTAGTTGCTGTGATAATTGCTTATGTTTGCTCTACCTTACATCAGATTAATAGGTTGCATTCTGGTAAAAGTAAGTTATTTGCTTGGCAGATCTATTCCATTACCACATTTCATTTCCACACCAATTAAGAGTATTGGCCCAGCCATCTTGAGCTTGCCTTTACTTGATGTACAAATTAGTTGTGTAACGTTGCAATTTTTTTCTCTAGGCATAGACATATTTCATGGTAAAAACTTCCTCACATACTTTTCTTAGAAAATGAGGATCTTTGTTTATAAAATAATCCATAGATCATTATGCTGGGACTAGAGAGAAATATATTTCATTTGGTTTCAATCAAAGCTGGAAAGCTCAAATAACTAATCTTTTCTATGCATGTTCATAATGAAAATTCTGGGTAATATGATATTGCTGTAAGGAGAGAAAAATAAAAGTTCTGATAGATAGTTTGTAAATGGAAAAGTCTTTCAAAGTTAATTTGCAACATTGGGCTTGCTTTAGTCATCCAAAAATAGAAGATGCTGCGATTATCCAGCGCTTCATAGTTTAGTACTTAAAACATCTAATTTGCCATTTCATTTTTTAAAAATGTTTTACACACACACCATATACCTTTTTAATATGATGGAAAAGTGGATTGGACGGAAGATGGAAAAATACTTATTGCTAACTATTTTTTCCTAATTTCAGCTAAGTTTTCAGCACAAGATTGGAATTTTATATTGCAAAGCAGGCCAGAGCACTGAGGAAGAGATGTATAACAATGAGACAGCAGGTCCTGCTTTTGAAGAATTCCTTGACCTTCTAGGTCAAAGAGTACGACTCAAAGGATTTAGTAAATACCGAGCACAATTAGATAATAAAAGTAAGTGGCAATGACAAAATGTTAAAAATGGTAATGAAAGATTGAATTTTTTTTTGTTTTGTTAAAGTAGTGCCTGAAAATTCCTGGGTTTTCCCCCCTCTCTCTTCTGCAGAAGAGGCTGTTCATAATTCCCTACAACCATCACTTTGGACTTAAATGCTCCCAGCTCTCATTGTGGTCTGTCATTATAAGTGCCAATTGTTTTATGATGTGCAACCTTAAGACATAAAGCAAAAAAAAAGTGGGAATATTATTTCTAATATATATTTGATAGATTTTGTGAAGGGTTGGTGTCTCTGGACGTTGTTTCAAAAAATTTGTATTTAACAGCAGGTTATTTATACAGAGGGGGCGTGATGGCTCAGAGGTTAAAGACTGAACTTGTCAGTTGGAAAGCTGACAGCCTGGGTTCAAGACCTGAGCATTGCACAATGGGGCGAGTTCCTGTTCTTTGCCTTATTTCCTGCCCACCTAGCAGTTCTAAAGGTTGTCAATGCAAGTAGACAAATAGGTGCCACTTCAGTGGGAAGGTAACAGTGTTCCATGAATGTTGGCATATAGTCATGCTGGCCACATGATCATGGAAATGTCTACAGACAACGCTAGCTCCCTCAGCCAAGAAAAGGAGATGAGCACCATAACCTAGAGTCGCACATGGCTGGACAGGAGAACCTTTACCTTTCTTACTTTTACCTACCAGCAGTGACCAGCTAGTAATGACCATATACCCGTTAGGTTATGTGGGTTGAAAAAAGTTTAGCATGGGAAATAACATTCACTTGAAGAAAATGCACTTATCTGTACTTTAATGTCTATATTTATGTACTCATTTTTGGAATTTCTTTTCAGCTGATTCAACCGGAACTCATTCTCTTTATACAACCTATAAAGATTATGAAATAATGTTTCATGTTTCAACTATGCTTCCATATATGCCCAGTAATAGGCAACAGGTATGTTTGCTTTGGAATCTTGTACAAATATTTGGCTAAGTAGCAGCAGCAACAACAAAAAAATCAGATTGTAATTTTTCCCCCTGTTCAATTGTGTGCTATGAACAAATTACAAAAATTGTGATTCATTTTAACGCTGTAATTTAAATATTCTGAGATCAATTGTGAGATCTATTTACATTTAAAAAAATCAGGCAAAAACAAAATAATACTTAAAAGGAGAGATTTTTCAATTGTACCGTATTCTCAGTATTCAATGATATAAAGAGTTATAGAAAATATTTGTTTTTCTAAAACAAATCTCACCGTCTATTTTAAAGTATTGTACCATGCATTTGGTTCATTTTTTAAATAAATTTTGTTATATTTTGCATACTACGCTATTTGTACCTTATACAATTGGAGCATATTATGCAGAAAATGTAATGTTTGAAAATGTTTTCTTTGTAAATATTTTTTTAATATCTTAAAACATTAAAAGTGGCTAAAATGACATAGTACAGGTAGTCCTTACTTACAACAGTTAATTTAGTGACCATTCAAAGTTACAACAGCACTGATTTAACAATTGCAAGGATTCATTTAACAACTATGGCAAGAAAGGTTATAAAATGTGGCAAAACTCACTTAACTGTCTCAATTAGCAACCTAAATTTTGGGCTCAGTTGTGGTTGTAAATCGAGGACTACCTGTAATCAACTTCATCAAATATTAGGAGTTTTATAGAATTTGCAAGGTGTTTCAATCCTGTTTTATTGAAGTTAATATTTTTTTTTATTTTGCCATTAACTCTAAACCAATGGTTCCCAATGTGGGGCTCATGCCTCACAGGGGGGCAATTTGATTTTTATGAAGTTAATGGTCTTTTAGGCTTCCTCTGCGTGAGTAGAGTTCACTTTTGCGTAAAGTAAGAATTATATGTCATAGGAGGGGTGGCATCAGAATTTTAAAGATGCTTAGGTGGGAATCACTGCTGTAAAGGATTCAGATTAATAAATTTGTAATATTATGTTTGTCTGTACTAGTTGGTCTAACTATAGTGTGTTGAATTCAAAGCTCTTCAAGTGCTTTGGGATTATCTGGAATATTTTATATGCAAAGAGTGATTGGAGGTTTAAAAACAACTTTCAAAAATAATGTTATTAAGAATTATGGGTTTAATACTAGTAAATAAGAGCTATTCATAAATGAGATTACTGCTTAAAATGCAACATTTTATATCTTATGATATGTGCAGTTCTGAGAAGAAATTTTCATAATTCTACAGACCTATAGAAAGAATAATGAATTTTATACATATATTCCAGGTTGTCTGTTGATGAGAAGATTGGAGGAAGTGTTAAAAGCAATCTTAGCTATGATAGATTTATTAGACTATGCAATTATGCCTGGAGAATATTTCTAGTTATTTGAGAACAGCAGTATTCAGCAAGTGTGTAGTTATTTTAAGAACAAAAGCTTTGTAACCATGTTAGTTTGGCATGTAAGAAAACCTGTAATGAAAAATTTCTTTTTGAAACAGTACAGAGAGAAGGAAAAAGAGAGAGACAGAGAGAGAGAAAAGGAGAGGGAGAGAGAGAAACATTTTTTTGGAAAAAAGGAACAGGAAAGATTAGGAAAAGTCACAACTAAATTCCCAAACTTCTGAACATGTTGGGAAATGGCTTCTTGATTTTTTTCATTCCTTTAGCAGCAGGGTAATAGGTTCTAACTATCTATTGTATTCTGAGTAAGAAGGTAAACTGCACTTGTATGTGATTCTGTTTTACCTCTGAGTGTCTAGGTGTATGTGTAGATAGCACAGAACCATAAAACTGGAATGATCAGGAGGGAAGGAGGCAGATTCCACGCACTAGTAAATTTGGTCCCATTTTGCTCAGTCTTTATTTCATTTTATTTATTTCCTAGTTTATTTTTATTTATTAAGTTTACACGCCACCCATCTCACTCTGCAAAGTGATTCTGCAAAGTGGTATTGGGACTTTTAAAGAGATATCCCACTAATTGACAGAGTCCTGAGTCCCTTTAAATAATTTCTTTCCAGCATTCTATTGGATTAGAAATATTTTGGGGGGAAACCAATAAAACTGCCCAATTAGCTTGTAAATCATTGGACTGAGAAGGGTCCAAAACATGCACAGAATCTACTGTAGAAGGGATAGTCTGAAAGAGGATGTGTAAGCTTTCTATCTAATTGTTTTCATTTCAAAACTAAAAAGTCAAAGTCAGGGAAATCTACAGCTTTGCTCAATCAAAAGGTATGCTCTGTTTTTAGTGTTACAGATCAGTGTTATGGCCATCCTTTTGCTAAGGCTAAGGACTATAAGGTCTCTGCTAGAATGATGGTATTCAAAGGTATTGAAAGGTTGATAGTATTCCAACCTTTCATTCACTCCAATAAATATTCTGTCAAAGATTCTGGGTGTCATTAAGTAGAAAAAGAATGCCATTTTTTTCTGAAAAGAGCACACACATATTCATTTAACTTATATGCCCGTGATGGCAAATATATGGTATGCGTGGCACAGGTGGCACGCAGAGCCCTCTCTGTGGGCACACATGGTGGCCAGCTGGTCTTCGCACACGCCAGAACACCAAAAACCCGAAGACCAGCTGGTGCGCATGTGCTGCACCAGCCACCTGGTCTTCAGGTTTCTGGTGCTTTGGCATGCGTGAAGACCAGATGGTGTGCACGCATACGCATGCTGGAAACCCGAAGACCAGGTGGCCAGCACACACATACACACCGGTCAGCTGGTCTTTGGGTTTCAGGCGCTCTGGCATGCGTGCACATTCCAGTTTGGGTATGCCATCATTGTTATATGCTATAGTAAATGTTAACTGCAATAATAGTATTAGTTACTACCATCAATAATTCCTCACCTAATTGAAGAGAGATATCAAGTGAGATGTTGCAAGCACTAGTCCTGAATCCTCTACTCTTTAATATTTCATGAATGAACAGGTGGAAATAATGCGTATCAGGTTTTCATATAACAAAAATAGGACAGAGAGCTAACGACTTAGAAAAGGAATGTGAAATTTTAAATTTTAAGATAATTTTAAATTATCTTAATAATGAATTCAACAAATATAAGTGCAGAGTTTTTCCTTAGGAAACAATAATTAAAATGCATAGATCTTGAAATAGTAGATGAATATGAGCCAGGAGTATAATATGACTGCAAAAAAGGCAAAGTATATTTGATCTAAGACCATAAATTGAATAAGTGAACAAACATGGCAAATACAATTTTAGACTTACATCAACAGAAGAATAATGTTCAAATCGTGGCTATGAGTATTATGTCCAGTACTGGGCACTACATCTTAAGAAGGGTCCAAAGAAATTTAGAACAGTTTCAGAAAATGGCAATAAAAACAATAATTAGGGGACTAGAAAAATAGGCCTATGAAGAAAGTTTGAAGTTGGCTATGTTTATCTTTGGGGAAAAAGCTGACTGAGGGAGATATGTAAACGTTCTTTAAATAGTTGAAAGGATATCACATAGAATAGATTTGCTTTGTTGTATTCACTTCCATTTCAGAGCTGGCAGCTTGTTATTACTGTGCACCTGAAATGGATCTGTGCTGCTTGCAACATCTTAAAGGCTGAGATTCAGTTACGTCTTGGTGATATGGGCAGCAGATAAATTTAATAAATAAATAAATAAAATAAATACATTGACTGAATTCTGATTCTGCCCAACATTATATGCAAATTGTTTTTTTTTTCCTTTTCATTAAGTGATTGAATTTTTAAAATAATTGTATTTCTTGGCTGTCATCTCGTGGTCATCAGGATTTGGATAGGAGAAGTGAAGAACGTGTGTTATGAAAGGGCATTAGCTCTGCATCTCTGGCTGTGAAGTTGTAAATTATTTAAGATACGAGGAGAGGAACCAGTGGCCAAAAGGAAACAGATTCTGACTGAAAGATGGTGAGGGTAGTGATTGGTGGTCAGGGACTGGATGGAAAGGGGCACGACCAACAAGAGACTCAAGTTTGCTGATTCAGAACGTATCATTTCAAGTCTCCACATCACCATATCACTATATTTTCTGCATTTGGTGTCTAGAGATAGAATGAGAAGGAAAATATTACTTCCAGAGTCAAATATTTAAAGCTGTGCTCTGACTGCCTAAGCTATGAATGGGCCATAAAAGACGGGCAATGGCACAAGGACACGTCTCATGGAAATGGTTAGTTAGCTGTTGCCAAATTTTGATTTTAAATATGTTTGTTTCCAATTGTAGGCAGCAGCAACAAAAAGCTCTACTTTATTTATTTATTTTTTTGGAAAAAAAAAGCTCTACTTTATGTTGGAAGAGAGCTGATGGCACGATGGCACGATGTGCGATCTTGGTGCTCCGAGGTCGCACTCGAATTCCTGCTGCTGGACGGTCCATTTGGACCGCAGAGACTGAGTGATTGAGAAGGGCATCTCCTCCTGGTCTCAGGGACATCGCAAAGTCCCTGAAAGATCCAGGAATAACCTTTTTTTCCAGCAACAGAAACACAGCTAATGAAGCTGCTGAAGTTGGGACAGTTCCGGAATGGGAAGAAAGCGGAAAGAGAAAGTGTGTCGAATTGGTGAGGAAATTTTATTATTAAGAGGAAGAGACTACCCAAGAAAAAAATTAAGTTAAGTTAAGATTGAAGACAAAAGACTGTAGGCAGCGAGATTGATCTGCATTGAACTTAGAGTGTTATCCAGTTTCTAATTTCTTTTTTTNTTGCATAATGTTGAATTCCAATATTGCATGGTCACTTGCCCCCAGGGGTCCTGTGGCTTCAACACCTTCTATCATTTCCTCTCTGTTAGTGAGAATTAAGTCCAATATGGCTGATCCCCTTGTTCCCTTCTCTACTTTTGGGGAAATAAAGTTGTCTGCTAGGTTTGTTAGGAACCTGTTGGATCTTCCACTTGGTGCATAATTTGTTTCCCAGTTGGTGTCAGGGTAGTTAAATCCCCCACTACTATTCTGGTGTGCTTCCTACATACCTTAGTTAGCTGACTAACAAAAGAAAGTTAGCTGACTAGGAATGAAGAAAAACAAAATAACAAGGGGTCAATAAATGTGGCTTTATACTTCATGTTGCAAACCTGAATATAAATAACAATTCTCTTTCTTCAAAAGCTATTATATCTCAAATACATATGAGATAGATTATTAAATATACATGGCAGTGATTAGTGTATCATTATTGATTCATCCAGGTGAAATAATACATTTATCATGATTTGTGTGACTTCATTTTCTCATATGACTTCCAATTTATTTAAATTGACACTTTTTTCTCTGGTAGGTACAAGAGTTGAATTTTCATAATTAATTAATTTCTTTCTTTTTTCCCCTTCCCATCTAGCTTCTAAGGAAAAGGCATATAGGAAATGACATTGTTACTATTGTCTTTCAAGAGCCTGGAGCACTTCCTTTTACTCCAAAAAATATCCGTTCTCATTTTCAGCATGTCTTTGTCATTGTCAAAGTCCACAATCCATGCACTGAAAAAGTGTGTTATAGGTGAGTACAAATATGTGGACCAATAGTTTTTGCTTCTTGAAGTCCATTAAGCATTGTATAGGTGTTCCTGAACTTCCTCTGTCATCTACAAAACCTGATTATTAGCAAAACTTAGTATTTAGTCACAATAATTAGTTGAGTCAGTAATGAACTTTCCTTAGAGAATCAGTTTCTATTCACAGAAGCAAAGGAAGTGATTCTCTTCTCCTGCAGCCTCCCCATACTTTCAATATTAGATTCCCATACTCTACTTCATAGAGTAGTTCTTATATCTGAAGGCTGCAGAGGAAAGAAAACCAAAACCAAATCTTATATATAGGCAGAAATATGATTGTATTCTATCCCAGCAATAGCACTTAGTATGATTTGTATTCTATCCCAGCAATAGCACTGCTTCATAGCCATCTCTAAGCAGTTTACAGGGTCGCATATTGCCCCCAACAATCTGGGTCCTCATTTTGCCAATCTCAGAAGAATGGAAGGCTGAGTCAATCTTGAGATGGTCAGGATCAAACTCCTGGCCATAGGCAGAGTTAACCTGCAATACTGCATTCTAACCACTGCACCATCACAGCTTAGGGGAAAAATAATTTTTCATTTGTACAGAATCATGATTTGAACAGTAATACTTCTTCATTCTCTCTTTATTTGTTTTTTTAGCGTTGGAGTTTCAAGATCGAAAGATGTTCCACCTTTTGGACCACCTATCCCTAAAGGAGTAACTTTCCCTAAGTCAGCAGTTTTCCGGGACTTCCTTTTGGCCAAAGTTATTAATGCAGAAAACGCAGCCCACAAATCGGAAAAATTTCGAGCCATGGCAACCAGAACACGTCAAGAGTACTTGAAAGATCTAGCAGAAAATTTTGTTACTACTGCTACAATAGAAACTTCGGTCAAGTTTAGCCTCATTTCATTAGGTGCAAAAAAGAGAGAAAGAGTCAAAGCAAGAAAGGATGCTCATTTATTCAGTGTTGGAGCAGTAATATGGAATGTGATAGCACGAGACTTTGGTCAGTCACTTGATATTGAATGCCTGCTTGGCATCTCCAATGAATTTATCGTGTTGATTGAAAAGGAGTCAAAAAATGTTGTGTTCAACTGCTCCTGCAGAGATGTTATTGGCTGGACATCTGGGTTAATGAGCATAAAAATATTTTACGAAAGAGGAGAATGCATTCTTCTGTCCGCATTTGATAACTGTGCTGAGGACATCCGAGAAATAGTTCAGAGGCTAGAAGTAAGTATGTGTTTCAATGCTTTTATTCTTCAAAAGTTATTGATAGTTTTAAGAAGCTTAAAGATGAATAAAGTTAAGTGCATGTACTGTGTATGTGCTTCAGTAAAAGAACACTGCTGAAGCTCTGTCAGCAGAGAAGCTATAAAGAAGAATGAGTGCATGTTTATTCACCCTTCAGTGTGCTCATTGGAACAGAGCGCCTATTGTAACAAGCACCAATCCCTAGTCTGGGAAATATGTACATAGAATTAACATAATAATGTTTGCATCTTTATCTTTAGTAAATCTGTAGAAATGTATGAAATAATTTCAAATAAATGTGATCAGCTTGCTGCTAACAGATGCCACATATCAGCAATGCACTGCTGCAACATTGATACAGATTGCCCTTCCAATGTTGCATTACAATTTTTAATCAGATGAATTATTTGCATTCTTAATCAGCAATAATTATTCAGAAGGCATTTTAACAATCCAGTGATTTTAGTCACAAATGTGGTAATGATAGGACAAGTATAGAATATATGAATTAAGATTCTAGTTCCTTAATTGCATACTTAGTCACAATGCAATTGCATCTAACTCTTATCAGACATTCTGGAAAGTGTTTACTACTAACGCAACAAAAGTTCTTATTCTTTAAAAATAACTTAATGGCCTTGCTTGATGACCATTTGTTCAGAGGCCATTTGAATTGACAAGAGGTACTTATGACCAATTCTCAAAGTTCTGGCTGTCACAGTGTTCTTGCAGTCACATGATAGCAATCCAGGTGCTGAGCAATCACTTGCTCAGCAAGTGATCTCTGAACTATATAGTGGCAATATAGTGGCTGTGAAAGATATAGTTCAGTGGTTCTGAAATCTCATCTACCAGTTCCTTTAAAACCTGGGGTATAATCCATCTGGTCCTGGTGATTTGAACTCGTCTAGGACTCGTCACATGCCATTGTGTGTTACAATGATGTCATTTAGTGTTGGAAATTCCAATCACAATTGCCATCATTAATTGAGGACTGCCCTATTTTAAAGCAACCTTCCACTGTTTCCTGAAAATTCTTTGGAAATTCAAGTAAACACCGTAATGTCATTTTTAGAAATTTCAAAAGAAGTGGATTACTGGCTTAAGAACCCCAGATTGTTCCTCCAGAGCCCCTGATCACTATGACATTTCAGTTAAAACAACAGTATCAGTATCTAATAGCCCAAGAAACAAGTGCCTCAATTGACTTAATAACCCAAGAGCATTGGGTTATTCAGTATGGGTTATTCATTGGGTTATTCTAGACCAGTGTTTTTCAACCACTGTGCCGCGGCACACTAGTGTGCCGTGACATAGTGTAAGGTGTGCCGTGGGAAAAACACTTTATATATAGTCAATATANGAAGAGATGCATGGAAATACTGTAACTAACTGACACACTTTCTACAATTTGTAATGGAAGATGGGTTATTTTTATTTTTATGTTTGTCCTTGTTTAAAAAACAAATTTTTTTTTTTTTTAAAAAGAAGCTGTATGTTGAACGTTGTTTATTATCGCTTTGTTGAATTTGAAACCACAGGCAATAACCTTTAGCCTTCCTAGATTTACATCTTCCAGATTTATATTTTATCTGTCACTGAAGTTGTGGCATTTCCTTAGCTACTCATAGCATTGTTCTTTTTTTTTCCCCTCCTGGTTTTTCTTCCTTCCCTTTATTTTATTTCCAAATGTTCCTTGATTCCTCCCCAGAGAAATTAAATCTTGTTTTAGTTTATCTCCATCATATTGCAACACTTACTTCCAGAAGCAATCAATCCCTTTTACAATGTTAGTAAACATTAATCAGTGTTTATAATTTATACTATCTTGTTAAATTTAACAGTAGTATCACAGCATATTTCATAACCTCTCTAGAATTAAAATAATGTGAGCATTGTTACTGGACTTGTAAATTTGAGTAGTAGTGATATCTGAAGATATAAGTGCCTTTAATTGCATTTAAATGCTAGAGATATGTCTCCATAAGTTCTGATAAGCACACTCAAATAGCTAGCCCTAGACAGCCTTAATATGTAAAAATATAATTAATGAATATTTACACACCTTGTTGTTATCTAGTTGTCAAATAAATAATGTAGAACATCTTCATAGGTGGATTCTAGACATGGTACAATAATTATTCTTTTCCACTGAGGTGCAATAGCTGATATTCTCAAAGAATAACCTGCCTGGTCTGTACAGTATTCAGGACTCCAATTATTTCATCCCATCACTTGGCATCCCATGTGATTAATCAAAATTGTTATCCATACTTTTTTCTTTGTTTAAGAATGGATTAAATCAATTTGATGCTTCAGTATCTTTTAATACTGATTAATAGAGTTTTTGGGATATATCTACTTTGACCAGGTCTGATTAAAATGTGTGATATTTTTGTATCTTGTTCTAATTTAACTTTTTGTAAAATTTTACAACTATTCTAAGGTTGCATTGCAATGACTATTCATTCAATCTTTAAACTGAATGAAGAAAGATGGTTTATCCTTTACTATATATAGTGGAGTATTTTGCTTTAATGCCATATAACAAAATCACCGCAGAATCTACTTGATTGGAGCGATTTGTTAGTCCAGAAAATAACTTATTCAGTTAAATAACTTTTTTGCTTTATCTGGAATAAGCTAGCTATGTTTATAAAATATAAATAGCTTATTTGGATATGTTTGTATGTCCATGTGGATTAAGGATCAGTGCTTCTTGGGGTGTTTAATAAATAGAAAGAAATGAATAAATATTGCAATTGGCTGTTAATGAAGCATGGTGAGAGGGATACTGAGCCAAAGAAGAAAGGCAAAGTGCTATAGTAGATTACTTTAGACCCATTAGAAATGCATTGGGTTCTTCTTTTTAACTTTCTCTTAACAGGATGTACCGTCATGACAGGCTGAATTTTTATATTAATACTAAATTTAGGTAGATCATGCAAGTGAAAGTATGGTCTTCATCCCTTATTTGAAAAATTTTATAGTAATGTGCATGTTGAAATTGAAGGAAAAGAGGGATAGAACCTCTGGTTAATGTTGGCTGTCTTCTTGGGAAGGAATGCCATGTGATCCATATGCTATATTGTACATTGAGTTATTTTTTTGTGATTGCATTGATTAAGTTGGAAGGGCAGATAAATCTATAAAAAATAACCAATGTGTGGAAAGAAAAAAAACTCAAATTAAAAAAAAGGAAATGAAGTGTGTGTGTGTTTGTTGTGTGTATGTTTCTTTCTTTTTTCTTATATTTACTTCTACATTTAGACTCACTGGTCTGTTTTCCTGATTTGTTTATCTTGGTGATAATGATAGTTGTATTGATTTAAATGCACACACACAGAGTATCTCGGGTCTTATTCGTTTTTAAGAATTTGAGAATTTCATTCCCATTTTATTTTAATCATTTGTTTATTTGTACCCCACCTTTATTATTTTTATGAATTAACTCAAGATGGCAAACATATCTAACACACCTCCCTCCTTCTCTTTTCCCCACAACAACAACCCTGTGAGGTGTGTTGGGCTGACAGAGGGTGACTAGCCCAGTATTTGAAGCTATTCGAACCAAATGTTTATCATGCCAGTGAAATGGAAGTGTAGGGCTGTGCAAGAACTGTCTCTAAACACCACAGTTGACATCCATGAACTATATCAACATAAATGGATGCTGTCTGCAATGGATACATTCTGACGGGTTGATTGATTATGTGCCATCAAGTTGGTGTCCAGTTTTAACAAACACGTAGATTTTTTTTACAGGACAATCTGTCCCTCTGACATGATCTTTCACGTCTTCCAGCATTGCACACATTGCTGCTATAATTGAATTCATCCAGTTTGCTTCTAGTTGTTATCTTTCCTTTCTCTATTTCCAGAATTATAGACTTCTCCTGGGAGCTTAGTTCTTTGCCTAATGTGCCCAAAGTATGATAATTTGAGCCTGGTCATTCTCAAGGGAGAATTCTGGGTTGATTAGTGATAGGATCTGTTTGCTTTGTATAGTATCCTTGGTATTCTCAGTAATCTTCTCTAATACTAAGGTTCAAAGATGTCAATATTCTTTCTATCCTGCTTCAAAGAATAGCACAGGGAAAATCATTATCTGCACAATCCTGGTCTTTCTGGTTTACACACATCCAACAGCTGCATATTTTTCATTGCTCCTATATCAAGTATTTGTCTATGGTGTGTTTTTTTGATTGCTGGTTCCTTTATTGTTGATATTCATTCCTAAAAGACATAATCTGTCCATCATTTCAATATCTTTATTATCGATTTTAAGGTTAGTTGCTATTCTGGTTGTCATTAGTTTCATTTTTTAATATATTTCATATTCCTATTGTTTTTTTATGTCTTCCTTGATGTTACTAACTTTTCAATCAGAATATCTTTTTTGGTTTGTTTATATTTTCCTTGAAGTGGGTTGAGAGTTGGAAGAATTTCTTTTCTCTTAGGAATTAGGATGAGGATATTTGGCATGAAAACTTTTTATAAAAATATGTTTAAACTAGGGAAAACACTTTTTTTTCTCCAGAGTAAAAATAATGCATGTGAAAGTTGCATGAGTTTTTCTATTCTTTTCTGACAGTGATTTATCAGTATAATTTTTCATATACCAATATGAAATTCATAGGTTTTATTCCTTGGCTATTAGCAACATCAATTGTTTTTCATTTTGGCAAGATAATATGGTACTAATATAGTTCACTTCCCTAAAGATAATTCACTATATTCTTAGATTTAACAATTTACACACTATTAAAGTGTGTGTGTGTGTGTGTGTGTGTGTGTGTGTGTATGCGCGTGCACGCAATAATAAAATGAATTAATTTTTTAGCAGCTGCCAAAAAAGCCAACACAGTTCTAGGCTACATAAACAGAGGAATAGAATCAAGATCACGTGAGTGTTAATATCACTTTATAATGCCTTGGTAAGGCCACACTTGGAATACTGCATTCAGTTTTGGTCGCCA